AGAAGAAGAAGAAGAAGAAGAAGAAGAAGAAGAAGAAGAAGAAGAAGAAGAAGAAGAAGAAGAAGAAGAAGAAGAAGAAGAAGAAGAAGAAGAAGAAGAAGAAGAAGAAGAAGAAGAAAGTAGTTCTGGGCCAGACGCCCTGCTGAGGCATGGCAGTATGACCTGGGTCTTCGAATTCTTAATTTTGAGCAGGTTCCTTAGTCTGAGAGGTGGGTTTGGGATGAGCTGTTCTACAAATGTGATAGTAGAACAGTGTATGTATATGTGTGTGCATGTGGATGTTTGATCTCTTAACAAAATATCTTCAAACTACTGCATCAGATCAGCACTTGATACACCTCTGTTTTCTCACAAGATGTTGAAACTACTGTAGCTAGAGTGCTTGTCCTTGAGGTGGGGCATAGGGTTCCTACTGCAGTCTTTCCACACATCCTTCTCTTTAGAGCCTGCTCTGAACTGAAATGGCAACCTTCACTCTCTTCACTGTCTTTCTTCACCCTTGCTCTTGGGCTACCTATCACCTAGTTGCACCAAGTATGGTCAAGACACATTGGGTAGATGTTGGTGGAAACCCTTTTTTCTGCTCACTCTTCAGATACAAACGTAATTTGGGGGCTTGAGGGGTATCCACTGCCCTTCTTTTACCAAATCCTTCAGATCTGAATGATGGGCATGGGGCCGAAAAAGGCGGAGAAGGAAGTATCTGGCCTGCTCTTTAAATCCCTTGAACATTGAACGGCCTGCTCAGGAGTAGAAGCAATGGCTGCTGTAAATAGATGCGGCTAGAGAGCCACATATAAAAGACAAAGGAAGGAGCCATCTTTGCTTGGATCTTGATGCTTTGGAGGAGAAGGTAAAGAGTGAAAAATACCTACCATTCCTGTGGTTCAGGATAAAGAGGCTGAAGCCTCAACCTTAACCTTGTACTTAAAAGTGGGAAATATTTGTTTGATTTATTTATATGTGCATTTTCTCCCGGGACTCCAAGGCAGTACATGTGGCTCTCTTCCTCCCCAATTTTATATTCACAACATCCCCTATGAATATACCAGGCTGAAAAAGAGAAACCCTGGTGAGTTTAATGTCTGAGTGGAAAGCAGAACTTGGATCTCCTCAAGACCAGCATTGTTACCATTACTCCACACTGGTTAAATATACATAACCATACCAGGGGTGGGACTCGCATTTCTCCAGCAGGCTTTGTTTAGGTTGGTTTTTTGTTTCTTGTTCCCATTACTCTTGTGACATTTGTGGTGTTTTGGTCTCAGAACTCATCAGTTCTGAATGAAGCTGCCCTAAAGTTGGGGCATATTGAAAATGAATGATTTTTCTGTAATGGTCTGGTGCAGTCCCTTTCAATTCAACTTCTCCTATCTGAAGTATTGGACGTGGGTTCGAAGGCATGGCTTCTGTGCTTCCGCTTCCATTCTGCCTACTTGAGACAACTTTCCAAGCCTTGGGATAAGCCTTCAAAGACCAGCCAAGGATTTTTCTGTGCCTTGTATAGAAAATAGTGACATTTTATTCCTTCTCCTTCTTTTGATCTCTATCCAAAAAGACTGATACCTGAGGAAGTTGACTGCGACCTATGAAAGCTCACACTGAAATGCATCAGTTAGTCTTTAAGATGCCACAACTTTGTTTTTAGATTTTCTCTACATCCCAAACTTGGCTTTTTAAAGAAATATTAATTTGTCCCATGTCTGTGTCGCTGGATTTAAGAGTGGGCAAGTTGAGTCCAGATAGAGCACGCAGTAAGATGACAGCAAATGCACCTGATCTGTAGTGCAGAATTCAAGCTGGCAGGTTATCTCAGTTTGAAAGGTAAACTGGGAGGTTGCCTCTCAGCTAAGGCAAACAGAAAGGGTTTACTAGGTCAGTGTTTGGAGCAAGGCATCTGAGCTCAGAGGAACACATGTGCAAGATGAGTCCTGCTGTGCATGCCAAGCCTGCATACTGCAGCAGAGGCAGCGCTTGGAGAAGTTACTTTCTTATGACTGTGGCTGTCAGAATCCTTCATTCAAACAGTCGGTGGTCAGGTGGAGTGATTATTTGTGGGAGCTGTGCTCAAAAAAAGGAAAAGGAAAAAGAGAGAGAGAGATAGTAAAAGTTCCAATTTCTGGCATTACTTGAGCAACTTCAGAAGACAACTCTTGCCTTTGGTGATGATGATGATGATGATCTTAAAACTTCGGAACTGGAAAGGACCCTATGGATCATCAAGTCCAGCACCTGTCAAGGAGGCCCAGCGGGGAATTGAACCCCCAGCCTCGGGTTCCACAGTCAGAGACCTAAATCACTGAGCTATCCAGCAAAATGATACTAGGGAATTTAGGGAGCTGAATCTAACGAGAAAACAATGGCGGGCTCCACAGAGGAGATGGGCTGCCTGGGGTTACGGTTGCTTCAAAGGTGCCTTCCTCCTGGTGCACCTTTTTTCTTTTCCTTTACAGTGTGCCTTCCTGATATCGCTGCCTCAGTTTCCCTTGCGAATCTGAGCAAAATCTTTTTGCTGAGCTTGAGGTACAGACAGGGCAGAGTATTTCTGAAACTTAGGTGGGATTCTCTTTAATTTGCAAGGCAGTATTCAAAATGTGACCAGAAGAGTAATAGGACGAAAGACTTAAATCCCAATATAGCTGCTAATCCTGTTTAATACTCTAAAGCTTGACAGAGCTGCTCCACTTTGCCGTTAGCCTCCTGCTCGGTAGGGTACCTCAGGAACCGACTGCGAAGATGCAGCGTTGGCAGGTATCATATTTGAGTCTCTTGAATGGCTTGTTTAGAAAACTCTGGGGGGGGGGATGCTGTTAAATAAGTAAAAAGCTCGTTTCTCAGCTGGAGTATGTTGTCAGTGATGTGTGGCAGTTCTTTCAAATAGATAGGCTTTTTAATGTGTGTGTGTATGTATGTATGTATGTATGTATGTATGTATGTATGTATGTATGTATGTATGTATGTATGTATGTATGTATGTATGTATGTATGCTTGCTTGCAGGAATTCTGGCTTGGATCATTGGTTTAAATGGATACATACATACATACAGATGGATAAAACTTTACTACAGTCAAAAGACCAGCCACTACATACATATGTGTGTATATGTATGTGTAATGATTTAAACCAATGATCCAAGCCAGAATTCCTGCAAGCATATGATCAGATCAGATCCCTACATAAAAGGAAATTAAGTTTTTTGACTGGTGGGATGAGAGTTTATTGGAAAAAAAACCAGTTTGAAATGCTCATAAAGGGACATATCAGAGTGGCAAGTCGCTCACTGAAAGATAATCTCCAGTTTCTTAAACAGTCTGCTAATTGGTCCCCTACCTTGTCCTGCAGAACAGATGGGGAAGACTGAAGTCTTTGGCAGTAGCCCATCTCATATGTCTTTTCACCGAGTCTTGATGCTGCTGGCTAGTGAGTAGGTGGATTTAGTTCCCTTTGTGTAGGATTTTGAGACCAGAAAAAAGGCAGCTAGATTCTGACTCCCTCTTGTCAGGCCGATTCCCTTCCTTCCATATAAGGCTATCCTGTTTTCTCACTTCCTGCTTCGGCTCCTTTTTCTTTTTTCCCTCCCCTCTCCCTTCCTTATCCTGGGCTCTGGCTTTCTCCATGTGGCACAGTTGTAACTATTCACAGCTGTCGGAAACTACAGAGGGCTTAAGGCTGGGACTCAGCATTTAACTTCCTTTCTTCTCCAAAGGAAGCACTGGTGGCTTTACCAGGCAGCTTGGATCTCAGTCATTAACGTCTCATATGCGTTTGTGTCTTTCATTTCTAGAACACTGAAAATCTCCCCCCTCATTTTAAAAGGGGGACCCTCAGTGTCTTAAAGAAGAAGTGGGAGAATCCAGCCTTTGGGGCAGAGGTTCGGAAGGAAACGCTCCGAAGCCACTGTGCTGAGGTTCAGCCGAAGGCTGTCAGCCCTGGGGTTGGATTTGAAAGCAGCTCCGAGGCTCCCCTGGCAGGAACAGACAGAACCTCCGGGATTGGTCCTAGAGCACGACTACATTCCTCTTCCGGAGTGATTGGCCAGTTCAGATACCCCAGCGTTGACAGCGAAGAGTCGAAAAAAACTAACTTGCCGGAGAGTGGGAAAATGGAAAATTGTCTCAGAGAATCCAGACAAGAAATAGGAAAGCCCGAAGCCCATGAAAACTCGGATTCTCCAGGGAAAATAGAGAAATGCAGTGTTCCTCTGAGCAGGCTAAAGATGATGTTTGAGAGAGGGGATGCGTCCCAAACAAAGGTAAGGAACGGATTCTTCACTCTCTCACTTCCCTTTATGATTGAGGCGGGGGGGCGGGGGGCTTGGAATCTCCTAAGGTTTGTCTCTGGACCACCAGCTTTATGCTAGTGGAGATTTTATTTTTCATGTTCATAGTGTCTCACTCAAGCACTAAAAACTCATGCCCAGGGAAAGAAATTGGTGCAGGTTTCCTAGGTGCTGCTAACCCTGCTGGAACAGGAAACTGAGTTAACAATTTGGCTTGCTTTCCTGTTTCAAACAAATTCCAAAGGTAATTGTGACTTCCACAGGCTACCGTTTCTTTTTCTTTCTTTCTTTTAAGAAAAAGGCTGTGTGTGTTTGCGCACACACATATTTGCAGTGTCACAAAAACTGTTCAATTCCCTTTGGGTAAGGCATAACTACAGAGGAATGTAGCTAAAATTGCTGGTCTCTGTTTCCTACCTGCATATTGGGAAATGTTTCTTGTCTCCACCTTTCTCACCAGAAAAATGTGGGAAGATAGTCTGAGAGAGCTGCCCTCACTAGTTTTGACTTGCAAATTAATAGGCCTTGCATTTTCTTACAAGGACTCATGAAATTTGATTCTGTAGGCTGTGACACTCCCCACCCCCACCCCCCAGGAAAATTGTGAAACTGGAAAATGAGTTGCATATGCCAATGGTTTAAAACACAGCTGAATTGACTTTTTCCAATCTTGTCATAGTTTCCTTCCTTCCTTTTAGTCCCTTGTGGATGTGGGAGTGTATGCAAAAATATAAGCTGTCAGTTAGGATTTAGACATTTGCATTCTTGGGGTGGAAGATAATATATCAAATATATATATATATATTTGAGATGAGCGTTGTTGTTTTTTTAAAGAAGAGGACACTTAAAACAGTTTCTCACAGGAACCCTTTGTCTTATCTTGATTTTGTGGATTCTGATCTGCTGACTGAGCAGTTTAGTCAGCTCTGAAAATGGCATTCCCTGGAGAAATCACAGGGTGTAACTTGGCAGATCTCTCCCCAGGGGATAGGAACACCAGCTCTGCATGAGAGCTCAGGTGAGTCACCTGAGTGTGACAAAAGGTATTGTCTGTAGATTCCTCTGTAGTGATTGAACTACTTAGTGGAGCTGTAGCCATTGTTGACCCCTGTGAGGAGGGAAACACTGTAGATTTGAATGCATTGTGCCACCATAGTTGGATAAACAAACCTTCAATGTGTATGAAATCTTTGATTTGTGGCAGTTAAGGAGAAACTACTCCGAGGAGAGGTTACTTGCCCCTTCTTGATATCAAGTAAGTTTCCCTGTGATGGAGTATTTTGTCCCGGAACAGTCTTGAAGTAAGACTGGTAATGTGGGCTTCTATATCCATTCTAGATGACAATTCTATTGGGCAACAGAAGCATAATATTTGAGTTTTAGTTTCCTCTCAGTTTTGGGGGTATATTTATTCTCTTCCCAATTTTAAAATCGGGAGCGATATTTTATTAAAAACAGCTGTTGTCTATCAGCTAGATCCTAGGAGAGCTTGTGCTCTTAATAGATATGTAGTGCTGAGGAGCACTGGTGTACTATGCAATTCTAGTGGCGCTGGAAATATATTTGAGAGTGTTTAGTAAAAAAAACTAGATTGCTAGGTGCACGGGGTCTTCTCTAGTAAGCTAAGTGCTTCAGTTCTTTTTATCCCCTCTCCCCTTTGTTACTTGGTGTAATAATCTAGTGAACAACCACTATCAGAAGCATGTGGTGTTTTGAAATGGGGAGAAAGGCGGCATATAAATAATAGTAATCATTCAATGAATTAAATTGGATTGAAAAATCAGTGTGAAATGTTACAAAGCAAGTTTGATTGGAAAGATTTGATGTCTTGATTCTGAACACAGTACTGTACTGCAATATGCAGGTCTTAATTTGTCAAAGGCATCTGGAAACCTCAGAACAAATACATTGGGTAATAAAGTTTTCAATAAGTTCTCATGTACTGTGTGCCTGTGGTAATGTCTGGCAGTAATGTGGTGGCATGTTTCTTAGAAATATCAGGCGGTGTCACCTAAGGTTATAGAACTAGCTACAGCCGGCACTATTGCAGATGTGTCATTGTCTCAATATGCCATAGTCAAGCCTACCATCTCTTGTCCCTTCCTTTGCGTGCCATAAATTCTTTCATTCATTGCCATAGGCACCATCCTTGCTATAGACTGGATATCCGTGCAATTTGTAAAAGATAACCGAAGCAAACAAATAAAAGGCTGGGGCATGGAATGAGGAAGGGATAGTGGAGAGAGAATCCAGGTGGTGTCAGATGTGCAGGTAGGAAGAACCAAAGATGGCTGTGTTATACGAGGACAGACTTGTTTCCTTTAGTCTTGCATTGTCGAGCCCGATGGACAACAGCTCCTCAAGGTAAAAAGATATTGCCTGCTATCCTATTGTTTTAATTGGACATGGCAGAGATGGAACATGACACCTTCTGCTTGCAAAGTACAGTATGGCCTTTACCACACAGCCATTGTCCGCTTCTTGAAGAGATGGTTTATTATCATCACTTTGAAATGGGTTTTGAGGAGCAGAATTTGGCTTTTCATTGTGGCAGAGTGCAAAGAGGCAAGATTACAATTGTGCTCCAACAGGAAACATCATGCAGTTTGTTGATAGGGCTTGTCCAAGAGGTCTGAAATAAATAAATATGCACATTCATTTTCATTTAGTTGTTTAGTTGTGTCCGACTCTTCGTGACCCCATGGACCAGAGCACACCAGGCCCTCCTATCTTCCACTGCATCCCGGGGTTTGGTTAAATTCATGTTGGTTGCTTCACATACACTGTCCAGCCATCTCATCCTCTGTCGTCCCCTTCTCCTCTTGCCATCACACTTTCCCAACATCA